ATTATATAGCTTTGGAAAATTTCAAAAATATTTCAATATTTAGTGGTTATGATGGCCTTGCCTAAAATAAAGTTTAATATTTTTCAGATCCACATAGAAACAGTATAATAGAAAATGATGCTGATATTACACCATAAGTATTAAAATAATTTATTAGGTATTACTGCTTTATGACACATTGGATTAGTCTTTGCTTTTTTATTGCAAAACACTGTATTATGTATAGGAATTATCCAATGACTGAATAACTTGTATCAGCATCATCAATGTATGTTATCCTACAGCATGCATTTTGTATTGCTAATTTATCAAGTTAAGTAGCCTAACCCTATATATTTGTATTGGCACCAGTAATTGAATATATTGATTGGTAAACTTAAAGTATAATGTGTTACTGTTGGGCTCTATGGTTGGGTATTTGTAGTACATGTTTGCACATGTTAGATGTGGAGGTGGGTTATGGTTAAAAGCAACATTAATAGCACTTAACAGCCACATTTCACAGACTATTACAACTTGAAGAGTTCAACATTTTCTAGCATCCTGTTTCAAGAGTAAATAAAACCAAAATTAAGAGTAACAAACATTTTTATTTCTTGCTTTTGAAGTTCGTATGTCATGCTATGTTGTAGCCTACAGAGTGCATAATTCTTCTGGTGATTCATGGCATGCTCACATTTTGCTGACATCACAACAGTAAAAATTCCACTGTTAAGTGTCCGTTATGCGACATCATTTTATTATCTACTGATTGACTGACAGACAACACACTGCTGTATGATGGTGCAACTGGTTAAAATAATTGACCCATCTAGTCTTCTTTTGGCTCCCTATTGGGAAAAATAATTACTTTATTGTACCTTGAAATGTATGTAGTTTTAAATCTTCTTTCACCATATAAAAGCAAAAAATGGAGGTCCTTTCAAAATAGTCTATTCAAGTTCAACAGGGTCACCTATGATAATATATCACCTGTGACATCACAAACTAACTTTAGTTTTTAGTATCAAGATGGCCTTGCAAATTCATTTAACAAAGTTTGGAATTTTATTGGATAGTCAACATGGTTTCACTAAGGAAAATCTTGCCTTACAAATTTTTTAACATTCTTTGAAAAAGTTACTGCTTATGTAGAATAGAGTAAGGGTGTAGATTTGGTTTATCTGGGTTTTCAGAAAGCATTTAACAAGATGCTACATAAAAGGCTTGTAAAAAATATATACCTCTATAGGTGTGGGGTATAAGTTAGCAAATTGGATAGAAGAGTGGCTGGATGGAAGGAAGTAGAGGGTTGTTACAAATGGAGTTCAGTCAAACTGGATTAATGTCACAAGTGGGGTACCTCAGGGATCAGTCTTAGGACCTTTGCTCTCTTAGATTTACATCAATGACATAAATGAAGGGATAGTTAATAAATTACTTAAATTTGCAGATGATATTAAGGCATTGGGTGTTGCTAGCTCTGAAGATGTA